TTTTTTTGCTTAGATGGACACTCTAAGAGGAGAGAAAAGTGTGCTATTATATATATAGATATCACTGTATTTTGCTCTATGTTCTACAACGTCTAGAATATGAGTTCTAACATTTGTTAACAAAATTTAGAATAGATCTTCTACTAGAGTGTGTTATGAAAATGGTGGAATATGTATTTTTTATTTGCTCTATAATCTGCAAAATTTAGAAAATCAATTATAAATTATTATCGAATAACGAAAATTAAGGAAATTCAATATTTGAAATCTTTAAAATGAATCTAGCAGTTTAAAAATTCGAATATATTGTTATACAATATTCAAAATATGTATTCTTCTTTTCCCGAATTGAATAAAATTATCGATTTCCCTTCTCTACCTAGCGTTTTCACGTGACAAATTTTTTCTGTGTTTAGCAACTGGACATGATGCAGAGTGGAGATTTATGGTTGATGAAGAAATACGTGTGAGATTACTTACCTTGCAATCCACTACAACTCTTAAACAACTCAAGATGATGGTTGCAGAAGGTTACGAAATTGAACAGAGTATGGTTATTGTGGAGCTCAGTTATCTACCAACTGATCAAAGAGTTGATTCTCCTCATGTTGTTGTGACTAACCATCGACAACTTCATAAATTTGTTGGGTATTTTAAAATGAAAAGTATGATATGTTTATTGGGATTGAACATACTATAGTTGATGTTCAAAAGAAAAAGATACTCATCTAGGTTGATACACAATATCATGTGTAATAAAAATTGATTGTTATTGAAATATAACAAAACATAAAAAGAAAACAAATTTATATCGTTATAAATTTAGTATATTAATTAGTTATCAAAATAATGAAGATATAAATTTAGCAACTAAATGATATAGCTGATATTAATATTGCATGACTCAATTATATATGTTTTTATTAACCTTGAAGTAGTCGAATTAAAAATTGACATTTTCTTTTGAAAAAGTATTATTACAGAGTAAAATAAAAGAATATGAAAAAATAAAGGGGAGAAAGTAGGGGTGGGCATTCGGGTACGCATTCGGGTTTTTTGAGATTTCGGTTCCAAGCCTATAAGCCCCATTCAGGTTTTTTTTTTCAGTTCGGGTTCAAGTACCCAAAAATCCAAAAAACTGTCCAAAAGTAAAATATTCAAAATTGTCCAGATTATTTGACAACCCTGTAAAAAACTACCCAAAAAGTGTTCGAAATTATTTGAAAATATTCGAATTAACCGAAAAAACTACCCAAAAAGTGTTGAAAATTATTTAAACTAATTATATATCACTAAACTTAAATAATAAAATTATAAAGGTATAGATGAAAAACTACAAAGAAAAAACCTTTTGGTTACAATTTCCCTTGTTCTACTCTTTAATTAAACTTAGGATCAATATTAGAGCATTTTATTACCTGGTCTTAGGTTTGACTAATTGAATTCAATGGAAAGACTAGTTTTGGTCAAACTAAAATCATTTGACCAATTTATAATGTGAAATTTAATGACCAAAAATTAGTTTAACTAAAAGTTGAATTTCAAACATTATGGTTCAATGAGAATCTCAATACATTATTGTATATTACCAGCATATTTGTATATGTATGAAATGCGTTTGCAATATTCAAAATAAAGTACAAAAAAGTTAAAAACAAAAAAGTAATTAAGGAGAGGCTAGTAAGCAAAATAAGATAAATTCATAATTACTAAGAAAACATATATATGACATACAAAACATATATATGAATGTATGTCATTAATCTTCACGAAGTATCTCGTCGATCAAATCTATGTTCTTTCGACCAATATCAATATTATCTTCTCCATTCATACCATTCATACCTTCTCTTTGATGCATAGCGAGAGGATTATCTTGGCCCTCCATAGAAATTTGAGAGATCGAGCCGACTTGAGTATTTGAGGGCAAGACATTTTCTAGATTACCTGTCGAAAAATGAATGTTTTTCTCAAAAGTATCATAATTTTCCAACCAAACATCCATATCCATCTCATTGACATCAATGTCAAAAGAAATGAGATCTTCAATTGGAACATCATCACCTTCCTCAAAAGGAACCAAACCCATATCTCCTTTATTGGTTTCACGATGAGTCATGTTGTCATCATAATTTGTTTCACAAGGAACAAAACCTTCTCGTGAAAAGGCCCCTCCCGTCTGGGTTGTATTAGTTTCAAGAGAAATTATGTTCATATCAGTTTCAGGGTGAACATAATTTTCAGTTGAAGGAATCCAATCCGTATGGTTCATATTGGCTTCATTACGACTATTTTTCTCCATTGATGGAATCCAACCTATTTGGTCTATATTGGTGTCTAAAGGTTCTATGGTATAGTCTGGAAGAAAATAATTTTCTCCCACAATGCTATGATCAGCTTGAAAAACACAAGAGTTTAGGGTAGAAATAGGGTCTATATCTAGTGGGTTCATATCGGTTCCAAAAACAGAGGTAGATGATTGCATTGGTTTAGGATCTGAGTTAGGAAAACAAATCCTCGTGTCTGTGTTAGATACACCAACACTTGATGGTAAACTAGGAAGGCCAAGAAGTTTATCACTACTAAAGCTAGTTGAAACGAGACCACTATGGTTAACACCATTGGTAGAAGGAATATTGTAAGGTGGGTTGTTACTTGTGGTTGAAGGAGCTTCTATGGCTGAGTTGTTTAATATGTTACCAAAAAGTGAGGGAGTAGTCAGATCCAGTTTCCCGCCTAGATGAAGATTTGGTGTCGTTTCCTTTCTCTCCGAAGGTTTTTTAAAGAAAACTGCAT